CGTCGAGAGTGACCGACTGAAAGGGAACTCTCTCCCTTTTGGAAGATGCTTGAAGATGAGTTAGTGAAATCTTCTGAAGCAAACAGTGAATATGTTTGGTTCCAGTTGGCAGAGGCTTATTAGTTAATTATGCACATTAGCAGGCTAACCGCATAACACAGAGAGCCTGCCAGAGTGCACTTGGCTCTTTTTTAGAATTTCCTTATTACAGAATCACTGCAGCAGTGCAAGCATATGTTACATTTTATGCTGACCCTGCTAATGCAGTAACAGTTACTACAAAAACCACAGAAGAAACCACATGCAAGAACCATGTTAGCTCTTTTTTTTTATTATTTAAAAGACTTAGACACGAACCTGTTAATTTATTCATTTTCTTGCAAATTAAAAGTATTAGATTTACCTCTACTTTATAGTAGACATGTTAGAAATAATTAAGGCTGTCAAAGTTAATTGCATGTGTCATTGCATGCAATTAATTGTGTATTCAGTTGCTGCATTTATGCATACTGAAACTGTTTCATTCTATTCTGTCTGATTTCTAGTTTATCAGTATGTATGTACAAATTCTCATAGCAAAGACCCAGTTTATTAGTAAATGATGGATAAAGGGCTGTTTATTGGCTTATATATTTAGAATGTTAATATTAGTTTATCAAATTCAGATCGGATGTTTAAACAACAAAAAGGCCAGCGACAGTGTGAAAGAAGCATGGCTTATTTTTATTCAAACCTTAAAACTATTGTGCACTGCCACTCACAGATGTATTTTGAACTAATTAGTTTAAGTGAAGTATGTCCAAGTGAGGAATATAATTTAATTTTACGACAGTTTCACACTGGACGCGCAAGCAGAGCAGAGGCAGCGCAGAAGGAGCTGAACCGCGGCTTGTGTACTGCAAATACAGACGAGTATCGTTCATTCGGTCACGTTTTTAAGGTGTTCTCCGACAACTGTCTGTCATGTGCTTTGGTTTATGATATGGGTAGCATACTCTACTGTGACGCGGCCGTGTTCTCCTCTGTCCCACATACGTGCATATAACATGATGTATAGTTTACATGATAAAAAAGTAATCTTAAAGTTAATAAATGCCTCTAGTTTTAATAATTTAAACAGGCCATTGAAGTTTGGGCAATAACTCCTGGCAGTGATGTGTTTTCGTGTAGTTGATTTTGTGCTAACTTGATCTAATATTTGATGTTTTTTTAAATGTTGTAGAAATGTTGTAGCAAATAAAAATTATTGAATATATTTTGAGAAAAAGCTCTTCTTAATGATTCCCAGGTGTCTTTAAGATAATTGAAGCAACAGTTTTTCAATAACTTTTGCAATAATGTAAAAGTATGGTATTTGAGGTAAAAAGCTCCCCTGATGTTAGGTCTAAAGGCACAATAATTAACATGATAATTAATAGATGGCTGACTTTTCCATTTGTTGACATGACATGGTTGTCAGATGGTAAATATCATTATGTTGGGTGTCAATCTTAGAGATAATCACCATGTTTATAATTAAACCATCATATTTAAAAACATAATAATAATCATATAATAAAACATCATTTGTTGTTACTACTGTAAATCTATATACAATTATTTTGGTATTTCCTTCAGTGCTTTCAGAATCTTTACTTTTTAAAATGATTTTGTTTTTAATAGAAGAAATGACAAACAAGAACTACTCTACACTGCTCAAAACTCACGTTTGAATCGTCAGTGGCAAATCATTTAAATTAAAATGCACTT